TTTGCTCCAGAATGTGTTTAGTGCTGACATGTGTTATATTAATAATGATGATGATGAGTGTGAAAGTATGAGCCATGTGTTGTGGGAGTGTCTAGCATATAGTAGTCTTAGGAGCAATTTCTTAGTTGCCCTGCAGGGGAAGCTTGGGGATGATGGGTTTGAGCATTTCCAGTCGCTTGATAGTTTCAGGAAAGCATCCTTTATATTGGGTAGTGAACTGTGGGAGGATAAATTTGGTTCTTTGCTTGGCTTTGTTAAAGATTTTATTTTGGATGTTTGGGAGCTGAGAAAGGTTAGGTTATACGGCGATAGTCCCCGCGTAAAACAAACCCAGTGTCAGATTGCGTCTGGGGAGCAGCAGGGTGTCACTGGTGGAAGGGGTGAGTTGAGGTGTCTGGGAGGTGAGACAGACACCTCATGTTCATATGGTGTATGTTCGTTTGTTAACGGTTCCGCCCATTGCTCTGGGTGCGTGGTCTATGGCCCTAGTGCTATGGCAGCCACCTGAGTATTATTATTATTATTATTATTAGTAATGATGGCAATGAGTGGGTGTGTATGACATGTGGTAGAGCATTGAAACGTTGAGTGATGCCAGTGCAAGCCAAAGCAAATGGGATACAGTTGTGTAAAGTACCACCTGAGCTATCTGATCTGAATGCACTTAAACTAAGGTTAATTGGCAGACGTGTGCCTTTTATGAAAATGGTAGCATTGCCATCTGGTAAACAGTGATCTATTCATGGCCCAGCTGTCAATGTTCCTTCTAAAGTTGATACGATCTGTAATATGTTGCCCTCAAAGTCTGAACTAATCCCACCAAAGCTGAAGCGTAAAATCTGTGACAGTACTAAAGGAGAGGAAGATCGTATGATCGGTTCAGCAATAACATTATGTTCAAATACTATTGATCATTGTTGATGTTGTGTTGCCAAGTTTAATCTCAAAACCCAAAATTCTATTCATTCATATGATGTTGTTTTGCAAAAATCATAATATTTTATCACAAAACCAGCGTTTGAATTGTAGCTCACTAGGTTAGGCTTGGGAGGAAAGAATAATCTTATCTATGAACCTAAATACAGCACCACTACCAGACCTTGGTGATACCATTGCACCACCCATTACTTTACATAATTGAGCATGTGTGTTCACTATTATCACTGCGCCGAGGGTTTCCACTTCAGTGTCTTTCATTAGTAGTTTTATGACGTGTGTGATACTTCGAAGGGACCTGTAGGGTTCATAACGAGAGAATGGAGTCAGTTCAGTTGGCCTCTTCACTTGGCCGTTTTGTTTTTCGTGGTGCAGGGCGCAGGTTGTTCAGCCCTGGTGTTGACCCCACGTTGTACTCCTGTACAATGACCTAACAGTGAGTTATGGAGGTAATACCAATACAGTCGTGTATGTATTGAACCTTCTTCAGAGGGGTATTGGGAAGAAAACCTCGCCAATCACGTTGTTGAACTCCTTCGCCTGTTTGAGGTTTGCTCCTGCACTAACAAACCACTGGTGGTCCTCTTTTAGAGAGCGCAATGGGCTATGGCCACGTGTGCTCAGAGGGACTTTGAGCTGATTGCTGCGGATAGTACACCACAAACAGCAGTGTTGCCCTTAGGATGGATAAGAACGTTCATTATTATTGTGTATGATTTCGGGGTAGATCATACCACATGCTCCAGAAAGTCCACACATCACACACAAAAACTCATAGTCCCCGATGAAGAAGACTTGTATTGCCCACTCTCTGCATAAGGTTGGTGGTGCTATCTCCAGCTTGGAAGACAGCAAGGAGGGATGAGTTCGGTTTGCTGACATTCACCGCTTGCATGTTCAGCTTGAAGCTTCCTCGGCCCTTATCACCTCCGATCTTTATGCAGACCTCAGAGGAAGGTATCGTGCTGTCATGCCCTGTTAGACCACTGGCAGACCTATCGTGTAAGTATCAAGGTATAGTTTTACTTAAAACTTGATTCTTACTGCAGGTGTTGGTTCAAAGTGTCTGAGACTCTAGCTATCAGGTTTGGGACATAGACGAAAGGCGCTTCGTGTACCTCCGCTCCCCTTCCTTCAGCAGGGAAAGTGAAGGATACCATCTCAGGTGCTATGTTGTCCCCTACAGTCTCCTTGGCTAGAGTACACTGCTTTCTCTCACTGGCATGGAACATCTTCAACCACCTATGTATTTACATACATAGGCAAAAATGGCCGTGTGGCACGCGACTGTACTTGTTATATACATGGCAGAAGTAAGCGACGAGGAGTTGCTGGAGGAGCTCAGGAATTCTAACTAGAGAAAGAGAAGGAAGCTGAAAAAGAAACTTGAGAGGGCTCAGAAACACCAGATCAAAGAGAAAACAACAAATCAAGACATCTTCTTCTAAGAAAGTACCTTTTCCTTCCTGCCGCTAAACTGTTGTATGAAGAGGAAGAAGATGAGGATGAGTCATTGCTTCAAAGATGATAGCTCTAAATGGGTGGGCTGTGATTCATGAGAGTATTGGTACTGCTTAAAATTCCCTGGATTGAAGCGTATCCCAAGAAAACTCTTTTGCTCTGAATGTAAGTAACTCTATCTCACAGTGGTGTTGTAAAGGTCTTGTTATCAATTTGTAATTTGACGTTTATCATGCCCATCTTAACTCTCAATAATTTGTTTTTTTTATTATGAAACTGTGCTAATGGACACCCAAACATACTATGGCTGAGATGGATGGTTCATCATTGCCAGTACAAAATTTGAAATTATTTGCGGTTCTTGTAGGCAGGGCTAGAAATACTAACTTAAGTGTCTCATAATACATGACTGTAATGTATTGCCTTACCTTACAATTTTTCTGTATGTCATGCACGCATGCATATTAGATTATTAGTTACATGTATATGGGTCTATTTAAAGATCGATGCTAGTTCGTTATGATCACAGCTACCCGTTGTATACTGAGCTCGTTAAAGAGATCATATGTTTTCTACTATAACGAGAGATCACGGCTCCGCACGAGCTTGGAAGTACCGGCATGTGTGCACTAGTAGATCATAGCAGATCACTACAAATTGGCGACGGGGACAAGCCAAGATGCCGACTCCAGAGGAAGGAGCATGAGATGCCGTAGGAAAGGGAGGCCACAGGAGACGCCGCTCCAGCACCAGCTATCGTATCACATGCTGTGGGCCTACATGGTGCCGTCGTCGAGTTTGATCCAGCCCAGGAGAACTGGAGTGAGTACACAAGAGAGACTACAACACAATTTCACGGCGAATGATGTCGTCTCAGACGAGAAGCGAAAAGCTTTCTTGTTGAACACGGTGGGAACGTCCACTTACTGTCTAATCAGAACGCTGGTGTCTCCAAGCAAGGTCACTATCGCAAATAGTCAAGCAGTACGATTTCAATACCAGGAGACAAGGGGAAGACGAGTCCACAGCCACGTACGTAGCGGAACTTCGGAAGATCGCCGAGTATTGCGAGTAAGGAACGGTATTAAACGACATGCTTCGAGACCATCTCTTTTGTGGGACAAGCAGTTACTACAGGAGAGCGACCTCACCTTCGAGAAAGCCCTACAAGTGGCCTTGTCAACAGCCGCAGGTACGGACTCCAAGATGTTGACAAGCAGCAGTGGTGATAAGAGGCAAGGTAAACGACCGCCCATCTCCCAACACACCTGCAGGGAAGGTCACCGGCACTACAAAATCAAACAAGCCACAACAGGCGAGTCAGAACAAACAGCAGCAGGACTCTGATAACTCAGGAAAGGAGTGTCACAGATGGAGGGGTTCACGAGCCATCCACCTATCCGTTCGAACAGTACGACTGCCACTACTGTAACAAGAAGGGACACCTAGCTCGAATGTGCAGGAAGAAGGGGAGAGACAGCTCAGAACGTAGAAGAGGAGGGTATCTCAATGAAGAGAGAGTACAACGCCATGTTCCACATCACCTCCCGCTAGGTCAAACGTACGTGAATGTCACTGTCAACGGCAGCCCACTCTCAATGGAGATAAATACGGGTGCATCAGTGTCGATCGCCAGCCTTAGTACGTTCGAAACTACCAGGAATGAAAAGTCAATGCTGGAACTGCGCAAGTTAACTGTGACAGAGACTCGAGATTGCAGGGATGAGACTGAAACGTGAGAAATGTGCGTTCCTCCTCAAGTCCGTTTCCTACCTCGGGCACGCCATCAGCGAAGAGTACCTTCACACAGTCGAGTCTAAGGTGAAGGCAGTGGTAGAGGCTCCTGACCCAAGAAACATCTCGGAGTTACGGTCATTCTTGGGTACGGTGAAGTATTATGGGAAATTTCTACCCAACCTCGCAACCACATTGTCACCTCTCCACCGTCTCCTTCGTCAGACAAGAGCACTGGCACTGGGGACCAAAACAGAAAAGGCTGTTCGGAATGTGAAGAATCTACTGAAACCCAGGAGCCAGACATCGAGCCAACAACTGAGAAGCCTGACGAGTCAGCAGCAGAGGAACCCGATATGGAACGAACTGAATCAGAAACTTAGACTGTCGATGATTTGCCTGACACCTCACAGACTGTCCGGAGATCTAGCAGGACAAGTCATACACCTCATGGGTTTGAAAAACAGAGATTTTAGTTTAGGTTTCTGTATCGTCTCTTATGGTTATGGTTGAAAGAGGGACGATTGTAATGTATTGCCTTACCTTATAGTTGTTCTGTATGTCATGCACACATACATATTAGATTATTAGTCACGTGTATGTGGGTCTATATAAAGATTTATGTCAGTCATTCTAGTCAGTCGTGATCACAGCTACCCGTTGTGTACTGAGCTCGTCAAAGAGATCATATATTTTCTACTCTACGAGAGATCACCGCTCCGCACGAACATAGAAGTACCAGCATGTGTGCACTAGTAGATCATAGCAGATCACTACAGTGATGTTACCTTATGTGCAACAACCACTAAACTAAAACATTATAGCTGAGGGATTAGGATTCAGCACTTTCGCATTGCTACTGGACAAACCTGGAGTAAGCCTGTTGTAAATGGTTTCGCAACATCTTCAAGTGAAGGGAACTCAGAATGTAACTTGTCAACTGCAGCCCTCAGAGCTCGTGACCAGGTTTCCACTCTGCTGAAAGAATCTTGAGTAGCAACACTTGCACCTTGGAGGAGACTAGCAACTCGCTCAGATGAACAGAAAGTGTTGACTACATCAGTACACACAGACACCATCTGAGAATACTGAAAAGGGTGGCAAGCGAGTTAGACATGCAAACTACATTGAGTGCAGTGGTTAGAAGGAATAGAACACAAGTAGGTGTGACCATTAAATAATTTTTTATGCCAGTAAACACACCTTACCTTTTCTCTTGCACTTGAAGATAAGACAGGGGGTTTCTGGCTTTGGAACAATTTCTCACAAAATTCTTTTCGTTCTACCACATACGAAACATATGGAGAAATGCCTCCTCTTCTTCCGGGCATCACTGTGTCAATTGGAGATCTGGCCTGCATTAGATCTCCGAGTGTTTTGCCAGTGGTAGTAAGGTAGTGTGCGTCGCATGCCTTCATAATAGCTGACTGCTGAGCAGCCTAGATAATAAAAAAATATACATCAATAATAGTGCATGTGAAATATTCTACGGAGAAGTGTTTGGACTCTACAAGTGCCTTTCACATCTAATATGCCCTTATTTTGAACAAGTGAACCACACACAATTTATTAATTGAACAGAATATATGGGTGAAAATAATTGTGTGTTAGCACGATGATGGCTGCGGTCTTAGGACCACCAATCTTTGTTTATATTTTTGTACTCTTCTCCTTGTCTGCTCGTAATATTTCTTTTCCTTTCGCCTTCCTTGGGATGGGCATCCCATAGTACAAGATATCCCCTCTAACAATGAAACTTGGTACCTTGATGAGAGTTCATCGAAACAGAAATTACAAGTTTGTAAACAACAATAAACAGCCTCAGGTAATAAATACTTCTAAATGATGTTTGTGCCTATAACTTGCTAATGGCTGGTCCTCTAACAATGAAACTTGGTACACCATGATGAGATGGTCAAAACAGAAATTACAAGTTTGTAAACAACAACAAACAGCCTCAGGCAATAAAACCTGTAAATGATTACTTGTGGTTGAGAGCAGCTGCAATAAGGACGCCGCACATAAAACTGGAGGCGGCAGCTGCTGGCTTCATTCCTAGTTGGAGTTTGATTAGTCGCGTATTTACCAGTGTTCTTCCTATTTTTCAAGCTCACGTAAGGATGGTTGCTCTTGTCTGTCTTTATGCAGCCTTTTGTTTAGACCAAGCACGGCTATCTGTTCGTGGAGAAGAGCAACCCACTCCTCATTTGAGTGGAGGATAGCTACACACCCCTCCCATTTGGCTACACCTTAGAGTTATTTTGGGATAGCGAGCAAGTTATTTATCGCCCAAAGTGTCATTTATTCAAGTATTTATTGCAGTGCATGGGTGTTTTACGCGTGCAAATGGTGGTTGCGCTTAAATCGCGCGGTTACATAAATTCAATCAAACCGCACGTGCACCACGTTAGCAACGCCACCGCCTCAGTTCCCATAGAGTTTGTTTACATATACTTTGGAATTCAGTTATGGAACGTGTAGAGAAGCAGCACAAAAGGCACATGATCATATTTACGATAACGCGCATAGCGTAGTAACTGCGTAACTCTACTGCGCCTGGATATCATTTCCTTAGCAATGCACAAAACGCCACAGGCGTTTTACACCTGCCATTCTTCTCGCACCTGTCAAGGCCAGCACACATTTTTTCAAGGCAAGTAAAAGGTTATTTCAACAGTGGTACAACTGATCTACAAAATGAACAGTATTTAGTTACTAGAACTACTTTTTCCTGTGGATTACAGCCATTCCCCAGAGGTGCATAAATCGCATTAATGGCAAGTGTCAATGACACTAGTGTCCATAACAGCAAGTTGGAGAAGCATTGCAGAGTGTGTGCAGAGATTTTAAAGAGCACATTTGTGTCATGAAAATACGGAACTACTGAAAACATTCAACATTGACACAGCGACAGACCAAAAACATGTACATTCAAAGGTGTATTGCCACAAATGCCACACAATTGCGAACAAGATCTCAAGTGGGGCTGTGGTTGAGACAGCAGTGGTGGCAGTAGACTGGGAGAGTCATGGGACCGACTGTTGGGTGTGCAAGGGGAAAGCGGGGAGACCGAAAAAGGCTACAAAGAAGCAAGGGAGACCAAAGGTCGACAGCGGCAAGGGAGTTGCCAACACTGTGCTAAAAATTGCCCCCACTAGTTGGCGAGCAGTGCAGCCTCTCTCTCTCTCTCTCTATTTCTCCCACCGGCTTCTTCTCTCTCCTTGCACGATCTTCAGTGCAAACTGTGCGAATGCATTGTAGATCGGCCTGTCAAGACGCCGCGCAACAATCTTGTATGCGCCGAGTGCATTAGTAGCCTAATCCTCAATGCCAAGTCATGTCTTCAGTGCCCATGTTCCAAAGAACATCATGAACTCTCCCCCACACGGTTTGTCCATGCTTCAGATGTTGTTCTGAAAGTTATCGGAGCTCTCTTGATACGTTGTGACAAATCCTCTTGTACAGCGTTCATGAATCTCAAGCACTTAGCAGAGCACGTGAAGTCTGGCTGCGAAGCACACACTGCGTCCTTTTCACCATCCAAGCTCACAATGAAGCAGATCATCTCCCGTCCGCTCCAGTCACCTCCAACTGTAGTTGAGCAAAAGGCATCTGCCAGCATCGTAAAAAGGTTGCTGCACACCTCTCCAGTTGTTAGTGAGAGGTAACCTGACATGGAGGAACAGGCACAGGTAGTGGCTAACAAATATGGCAGAGCACTCCTTCTTTTTGCTAAATGCCACAACTCGTTTAATTCGTCACTCTACTTTGACGATGCAGCCCTTTCTACTCTACGTAAGAAATAAAATCACATCAGCATAATTATACCTGCGCATTTCTCCCTTTCTTTAATAGTGTGCGACATTGATACATTCGTGTCCTACTACCGTGGTACAATGGGAAGCACATTTATCTCAAGCTACACATGCTAGAGGACCACGTTGTACCTTTCATTAGGTAATGGCGAGTTGGTGTTGGAATGTTGGGGGAACAGGGGGTGGAGGGCATCCATGCCAGGTTCAACACACTGAAACGGACAAACTCAAGTATGAGCACCCGTGTGGAGCGACTGAAGTGTGCGGTACCTGAGCACTGGAGACAAGTTTGCCCGGCCAATGTCGCTTTACAACCACCAGTCCAAAAGCAAATGAAGAGAGATAAGGACTGAGCTAGCTGCCGAGGACACCGATCAGTTTCTGACTGTGTATACCTGTAAACGTGTCTACTGAATAGTTAATTCTTCCATTCTCTGGGCATGGGGGACTTGCATCACTCGACTGACCCCATCTTTCGTAGACTGTGGGCAAACAGCCACCACCAGTGTATACAATAGTGCGGTTAAGCAACGGTCGAGTACGTCACGCAAGAAATAGTTCTAGGCATCTCACACTGTCCTCCACAGATGTCTTTCTCCGTTCCTTAAGGTTTCATGTGGATATAAATTCAGCTAAACGTCCTCCACGCAGGACAAACACGAAGCCTGCGAGCGGATGTAGATCCACCGAGGAGAGCCGGTACGTGAACCGAAGCCGGCCAAGTATGGTACCGTTGCGTAGAGCAGAGCCTAACCGTTCCGCTTGCGCTTTCCCTCACGCTCTAAAACGCTTGTACGACGCGACAGCGCAGCGCAAAGATCGCACCCCTTACGTTGTCATGGCCTGTTGCTAAGAAAAATTGCAGCGGGCGCCAGCGTTCGTGACGTCAACGTCTGCTACGCGTAATCCGTAAATGAAACATCCATGGGTGGTATACCTGAATAGTACACCACTATATATCTTGTACTATGGCGCGGCCATCCCAAAGAAGGCAAAAGGCGTATAAAAAGGAATATTATGAGCAGAACAAGGAGAAGAGTAGTGCCTGCTGCTTCTAGGGAAGAGAAGAACAAAGCAGCATAATTATGTGGCACATGGAAAGAGCATACGGCACTCATGCAGAAAGCGCTATTCACTTCTTTCTGAACAAGAGAAGAATAGCATATTACTCATCTGAAGCAAAGACTGCTCGTAGGCAGCGTTACCAGAGTAAACCCGGTAAGGAGAGAACTGTTCGTAGGCAGCGTTAACAGAGTAAACCCGGCAATGTGAGAATTGCTCGTAGGGACCGTTTCCAATCAGAACCTGGTAAAGAAAGAGCTGCACGTAGACAGCGATATCATTTGGAGCCAGCTAGGGAAAAACTGGCAGAAAACAAAAGGTTCCAACCTCATTCTGAGCGGGAAAAGAGAACCAGGTACCTGGCTCATTTCGAGAGAAAAAAGAACCGCTGAAAGAGCCCGGTACAGATCCCAATCAGAGAAAAAGAGAACTGCGGAGCGATCGTGGTACAAAATTCACTGCTCAAATATTCTCTCAAACAGACGCCAAGCATACTACCACAAACGTGCCTCAAAGCCTGTGTGTCGTGCTGCGCAGATGAGAAGACAGCCAGAGCTAAACATTCTCGCTATTCACTGAAAGAGTCTAAGCGAGATGTGCAAGAGCTTTATGTAAGGAACATGAAGCAGAAGGTAGCTCGCAATGCCTCTCTGAAAAATAAGCTAGTTCAAGGGTTCAAAAAGAGGCAGCAGGCACTTAGTGAGAAGCTGAAGCCAAAAAGACTGTCAATGGCTGTGGTCTCGATAGGTGTCTGTCGAGTCCTGAACACAGCCCTGAAAAGACGAAAAGCTAATTCTGGTGAATTTCTGGCGTGAATCGGAGCTGTTAATGAGATTCAGCTCTCTGAGCATGACTTTGGTGAGCAGTACCAATCCTGTGAACCTTACTTCTACGGCGAGAGTTACGCTCACACCAAGCGTAAACCCGCCACTTCCATCGACAACAACGGAAGATGTGTTGTTGCAGAGGAAGGAGGCGAAAGAAGTGAGGCTACACGCTGACCAAAAAAGTGGAATGCAAACTTCCAAGCACTGAACAGTGAAAAACAATCGCTGCTCTGAAATCACAGTTCAACGAGAGCAGCATCCCAGCACTAAGAAGGGTGCTAGCTAAAATCGACAGTGAGTGCCAGTACCTGCATCACAATACTCCCTTCACCAACAAGGTGAAAGGATGTAGGGAGTACGATAGTGACAGGACGAGAGAGCTGCTGGGTCACTCACTGCCTTGCACACAGATGAACTCACAGTGTGAACTCTCAGTGTCTCAGCACTCTGAGGCTGCTGCGCGCAGTCGCCCTGCACTACAAGAACGTGCGCAATCTGATGCATGATGATGGCATTAATACTCTGATACACTACACCGCCAATTACATGCAAAGCTCTCTATGGAGCCCTTATTAGTTACTAGGCGGTATATCTCATTAGCATAGCCACACACACAATTAGCATAATAGAGATGATGAAATTGTCACTGCTCCACCCACTGCTTGGGCTGTCCTTTCTCTTCCACCCATCACCAGGTCTGCTCCTCTTTTTCCGCCCACTGCTGGGGCTATAGTGCACCCATAAACTTCCCCTTTTTCCCCTTCAAACCTTTTTGCAAAGGTTTAGCGTATTATTTGCAGTCCAAAACATTTCCCCCCCAAAAATCTATTGCAATTAAACCATCGCGATACTTTGACGGCGAGTTGACAGATGGAGACGCAATAATTCGCGTAGTTGGGTTCGATAAAGCCAAGCGTCAGGAATTAAAATCTTTCTGTGATTATGGTGTTCCCGTTACTTTACGAAATTGCTTAATCCAACAGAACAAATACAAGCAATCTTTAGAAATCCCACACAAAGATTGAACCGTCTGAAATACAGTTTAACGTTCCAAACCTCAAAACCGTTGGAAGCTCTCTTGTTCAAATAGATCAACTTAGTCAGCATGAAAGGGTAAATGTCAAAGTTAGCGTAATCAAGGTCAATGAAGCCCAAACAGTCCCCGGAGGAAAAGTAAAAGAGGAAGTGATTGTAGCTGACTCAACAGGCAAAGCAACAGTGACCTTATGGGTAACAGACGTAGGACTTCTGAAGCAGCACAAATCTTATCAGCTGAACCGGCTAGAAATACGCTATTACCAAGGGAAACATCACTTATCGTTCCCATCAGCTGCATCAGTCGACGAGATCAGTGATGTGGAAGATGTCATTGAACCAACCAATTCCGATGAGGACAATCATGAGGAGCAACTACTACACATTACCATATCAAGTATAAGACAGCTTGAAACAATTCACATGTGTGTAAACTGCAAAAAAGTGTTTTCCATTAACTCCCACATGGGAGAATGCAATGCGTGCAGTACTACCCAAAAATTGGCTCACCCAAAGCAAACGACTAAAGAAAGTGGGACCAAGATACTCACACTAAGAGCATACGATGACACGTTGCCGACACCCAGATATCCCAAAAAGAAGTCTTGGCCCAAGATCTGCTATATGCCCCACAATTCGACTGCACCTAGAACAAGTTCAACATTATCACAAGTATACCTCATAAATAAGTACTGAACCTGCCAATGTAGACAACTTTGAACTTCAAACAAACATCCAACCAACTTCTATCATCTTTTACAACATCACAACATCAACAACTTTCCATAATAATCATGCTTTTATGCACACGTCATCCTAATATAAAAATATCGCCAAAATCACCCGAGACACACAACAAACCATACACGGCATGCTGCTCCATAAACTAATGCCTATTTCCATTCACCTGCCTCGATATATACTGACTTTGGACTATTAGGATACATTACAAAATAGTGCAATATCCCCTCTGAAGTGGAAATTTAGCACTTTAGCCAACCAGCTACAATGATCATCCGAGGAGAGGGACACTAGCCTCCAGCAGATGAGAACCCCCGACCAGCGGAGACGTAACCACTATTTGCACACACACACAACCATTATAATTGGATCACTCCTGCTTGCCAAAAACTCACCTAGTAATTATGCACATTCCTGCGCCGAGGGTTTGCACTTCAGTGCCTTTCATCTTATATGTGATAATTTTGAAACTGATTTCTTCTTAATTGATATGGTTGCAATTTGGATTGATTTAAGTAGTGGTGGGAGATTTGGAGCCCTTTTGTTTGCAGATGACTTCGTTGGTGTTAGTGAGTCTAAGGATCAGTTACAGACGCTTATAGATGTGGTGCATGCTTACTGTCGAAAATGGAGGCTAAAGGCTAATGTGAGTAAGAGTGTAGTGATGGTGTTCGCTAGGGAGTCAGTGGATGGTGCTTGGAAATGGGGGGAGTATGTTTTGCCTAGAGTATCTAAATACACATACTTGGGTGTTGATTTTACTGGTACTGGTGCATGGGATGTGCATATAAAGAATGTGTTAGACAATGGTAGAAGGAAGGTTAATCAGTTGCATAGTGTAATTAGTTATTGGGATATTAATTTGAGTGCTCGCAAGTTCCTGTTGCTGGCGGTGGTTAGGCAAACTTTAGAGCATGGGAGTGAGGTGTGGGAATCCAATAAGACTCAGGCGGCTGCATTAGAGTGCGTGATGCTGAGAGGAGCTAAGCATATTCTTGGGTGTTCGTTTAAGACATGTAATGAAGCCATTAGGGGGTATATGGGGCTTGATATGTTACAAGGGTGTAGGGATAAGAATAAGTTGAAGTGGTGGTATAAGTTAGCGGCATTGCCAGGCAATAGATATCCGAAGAAGATTTGTAACCAGGAATGGAATTTTAAGCCACGGAGAGGCAGGGAGAGGAAGTGTTGGAGTAAGGTCATTGATGATCTCTTTTCGTCACTAGGTCTTCAAAAGGCAGAGTGGTTGCATGATATTCTTTCTATCTATAGTAGGAGACAGTAGTAATGAGAGGGAGATTAGAATGTTTGAAGAGGGGCTAAATAGCAAAGTAAAGCTGTTGTTGTATAAGGCATTTAACAAGGTAGTAGAGTTCAAAAGTACTTGTATGGGAAAAGTGATGCAGGGTCTAGATTAATCTTTAAGTTCAGGTCAGCCACGCATGGGCTAAATGAGAAACTGGGTAGGCATAGGGGGAGGGAGGGTATGAAGGATGCGTGGTCCATGGCCCTAGTGCTATGGCAGCACCCTGAGTATATTACTAGGAATGCGCATGCACATATTTTGCCTCGCGCCTGCCAGCCAATGCGTAAACACTCCGACTGAGGCCGCTCGTGCGTGCTCTCTACTGACTGTGAGACTTCCTACGAATCTGCGCGCACGGCGGAAGCTAGACTAGAAGCCTACGAATGATGGAAGTGACATTCCTAAGCGTGACTAATTGACATTCTTAAGCGTGACGACACATACGTACGTACGCATATCGCGAGAATACAACCCGGAGTAGTTGCCTCACGCTAACGCGCTCGGCAATTATTATTACAGGAGCAGACATGGTATGGGATAGATTGGGATGGACCCCTTCCACCTCTGCCTGGAGATTCGGTTGTGAATGTTGATCCTCCTCTCCTTGCTATAGACAAATCCACATTGAAAGATCTAACTAGTCGTGTCAATCCACTTGAACCATGTGATGAGTTTGGTATCAGTTTCTATATACAATGTGTTACGATTCTGTCAATCGCATAATGATTTTTTTTTTTCGAAACTCATTTCCCAACTGGGTATATACCCAAATAAAAAAGTGGGTACCAGAATAAGAACTGGGTACCAATATAAATGAAAAGCACTAAAGTGCAAACCCTCGACGAACTGCGCATGTGCGGTACCACTAATTGATGGGCTGGGCTTTTTATGCCTTTACTCGTGGTATCCCGCTAGTAGCTCGCGGAGAGTCTGGCACGGGCTAGCTACAGTAGTAAATAGCATGCGGGAGTCGATACATGCCCTTCGTTGTGACTTGTTGTGCCTTCAAGACACACAGAGCGAACGGACGCGGTCGAGGTAAGCCTGTGCTAATTTACATATTGGCTTGTTCACTTGGTTTTCACGCCATAACTTTAAAACACAGTAGTTTTACGAAAATCACCTTTTTAAAAATAAACCCAGTGTAGCACTGAACCCGATCATATCGCTATTTACCTGATTTCGTGCGCGCGGTGGCAGAAAACGTGGTAACAGACAGACAGACTGACAGACACACTTACGGGACAACTACCGTAACCCTCGCTGTGCATGCGCGCCGAGGGTTAATGAAAAGCACTAACGTGCAAACTCTCGGCGACCTGTGCATGCGCGGTACTGCTAATTTATGGGCTGGGCTATATGTAGTATGCGTTTACTCGTGGTCTCCCGCTAGTAGCTCGCGGAGTGTCGGACACGGGCTAGCTACAGTAGTAGATAGAATGCACAAGTCGATACACGCCCTTCGTTGTGACTTCTTGTACCTTCAAGGTACACAGAGCAAGCGGACCCGGTCGAGGTAAGCCTGTGCTTGTTCACTTCATGGTTCCAAGGTGCAACTTACAAATATGCTAGGATTGCTCGTGCACATACTGCTGCATGCCAGCTGCCTGGTGGACCACGACTGACGAGCTGAAAGCCTAAGGTAAGTTACAACATTTTCTTTTCACGCCAGAACGAAGTATTTTACGAATATCACCATTTTAAAAATGAAGCCTTAACCTGTTGGTGCCGTTTTTTGGCTGGTTTGTTGCGCGTGGTGGCAGAAAATGTGGTAACACACACACAGACACACAGACAGACCAACTACTAGTGGAAATGTTCAACATTGTTGGCAAGCAGGAGTGATCCAACTTGGGATTTGCCCGCATTGTTCGGGCTGCATAACGTGCTGTCGCTCTCCTTTCTTGAAGCAAGACAGATTACCTGTCGCCGTTACATGCATATTGTACATTGGCAGAACAGTGAGCAGGTGAGCAGAACGGTACTTACCTTAGGCTTTCAGCTCGTCAGTCGTGGTCCACCAGGCAGCTGGCATGCAGCAGTATGTGCACGAGCAATCCTAGCGTATTTGCAAGTTGCACTTTGGAACCATGAAGATTGGGAAGAGGTAAAGCCTCGGTAAGTCACCGAAGATTGCAGCGCATGCCATCAAATGGAGGAGAGTTCTCTCGCTGGCTAGATCAATCGGCACATATCGCGAGGCACTGTGTGTGAAAATGTGTATTTGGAAATAATTTCGGATAAAAAGAAGCGCGCACAAAGCCGCACATGCGCACTTACACGACGTACGGCCGGCCGGTCGTATATACATAGAAAATTCCGCTCGAACGAACGACTAGGTTGGCTTGCTCCCGCTCGCCAATAACCCTCGAGCGCATGCGCGCCGAGGGTTAAAAAGTGTGTGTACCAGAATGAGAACTGGGTACCCTAATAAAAAAGTGTGTGCCAGAATGAGAACTGGGTACCCTAATATAAAAAGTGTGTACCTACCCAAATGTACGTAGTGCGATTATCTTACATAACGGACGTTAGTGTGCGTAATTTTTACACTAATCTCCCCCCACACCCCCTTTCCTTTTTAAAATATATGCAATGTATTTTGTATAGAATTTGTTTCATTTTAAAAAACTCTTTTTCATCTCACAAGTTATCCAAATTTCCTCTTACTGGGAGTTGCCTCTCAAGGTAACTCAGTGTATAATTGACCACAGGGGAAATCCCGCATTTATATAGGCTGCGCTAGTGCAGAGTGTACAGTGTACGTCTCCAAATTATCACCACCGTTCTTCCATACAAAAACAGCAGCTAACTAGACAGAAACAACCTTTCTCTCATACCCTAAGTATTCAAACACAACGAAAATATAACAGGAATTTTTTTAAATGTCTTACATCAAGTTTATTACTGGGTGCACTATACCGGTAGGCAATTTGTGCTATTATGTTGGCTGACTCTGCGTGGTGATTTTATGTATCCCTAGCTGTGGGACTCTCTCAACCTCCTCCTCCAGCTGTGGGACTCCATCAACCTCCTCCGCCTCCACCAGCTGCGGGACTCCCACGACCTCCTCCTCCACCAGCTGTGGAGCCTCCTCCGCTGAGGGACTCCCACGACCTCCTCCGCCTCCACCAGCTGAGGGACTCCCACGACCTCCTCCGCCTCCACCAGCTGAGGGACTCCCACGACCTCCTCCGCCTCCACCAGCTGAGGGACTCCCACGACCACCTCCACCAGCTAAGGGGCTCCCTTGACCTCCTCTGCCTCTACCAGCTGTGGGACTCCCTCGACCTCCTCCTCCTCTACTTCGTGGAATTTTGCAGCCACAGGCTAATTGGCGAGGTAAGTAACGGTATTATAGGCTGTGATTGCTGTGCAGAGAGATCTTTTCTCCATATTAAAGATTGGTCACAAGTCAGAACATTCCAAGGTAGACCACTCATACCTCATACTTTGAACTGACATCACTTTCTCACGTAAATCCTCCACACAAGCCATATATTGTTGCGAAGTGTATGAGTGTGCTCGCTTGTATGATGCACAGCAATAATCTATTTCATGAGCACATTAGACAGGTAATACCATCTACTCAGTTTTAAGTTGTGACTGCATTGTGTGAAGTCTACATTTAGTTTTACGATGCTGCATTCTTGGCCATCTACAGAATTCCTTCACCATTTGTCTTCAAGCAAACTCATGTCAGCGAGCAAAGGTGGCGACAATATAGGGTTTGTGCGGAGGATATTTTACACGGGCGAGCGATGTCAGTTCCAAGTATGTAGCCATCATCCCAATGTACTAATGCTTCATATACACTAGGTCATCCCTGTCTTGTCTCCTTGCTTTTTATGGCATACCCAAAATGTTTTAACGTTACTTGTAAGATACGGCCGCAAAAGAAACACAAATGAGCGATAGAGTTTGTACCACAGAAGCCCTAGAAATCAAAGGCACCGCACGCAGTGTATGCGCACTAAGACAACTCATTAGTATGCATGACATGGTGTATGGTGTGCTGACTCAGCCATACACTCACATGTGGTGTATAAGCTCTCATACACCATGGCATGCATACTAATAAGTTGTCTTAGTGCGCATTCCTGTGGTACATATTGGTTACACTACACCCACTTATTTATTCCCACTCCAATATCCATCACCATCAAAAGTATGGAGAGGGAATAATAATATCCTCGAGTTGTATTAAATACATGAGCTTTAACGTGTAATGAGTAACTGAAACCTACTGTTCGGATTATGGGTCACATTATACCGTGGCAAATCTGTATACTTAAACACTTTTTCTATTGTTCCCAGTTCCTATGTCATTGTCCTCGCTAACTCAAATGATAAAGGAACTCACTTGGGCAGGCTTAATATTAGCATTTAGTTGCTATTGTCTATGCCATTGCCATCATGCATCAACCTTACAAATAATAAAAAACTCACCAACATCTGATAACACTTGTAATCAACTTCCTTCAGGGAAACTGGATCTATGGCTGTTGGTAGTAACATGTTTGTAACGACTGTTCCAACATGAACACAGCCCGTGCTGAGGCCACACAAAAGAGTAAGTTCTCCATGCAGGTCTCGATTGCCTCCAATATCACCAAACGCCATCTCCAAGCTCTCTTTCACAAAAGCCAATTCGTTGAAAGCTGCACTAATCTCATGGCATAGTCTCTGCCAAAATTGAGGACCGCTATGATCTGGACAAACTCTCTGAGCTTCACAGCACAGTTCAGATAGACTCTCTGATGGGAGCTGTTCACCAGTTAACCACGCAGTGAGGTCAGGAAACTTCAGAGCTCTGCCGAGTGCTGCCACTGTACTCCTCAACAAACTGTTGGCTAACATTAGCTTCTGTTGCCTGTAATTAAGATTAAGTACATTCAATCTCACAATTTGAGTTTTAACCTACAGATCGACCAATGGAGTGTTAGAGACAGAACATCCATTCAACCAAAGTGTAGAGAGAAGGATTTTCATCTGGTCCACCTTGTGTTGGTAGGTACCAACTGTGCAAATGGAGTCTTCTGATGACAGTTCTTTGAAACATGAAATGCTTCCAATTTTCTACCAGAGGGAAAAGAAAGATTACAAAAAGTACGACGATTTGTGAATTGTTGTACACCCACCTCTTTTTCAGAAGAGAGAGGATTACAATGCTTCATTGAATTTACAGACTGACAAAAACTGTCCCGCACTTCAGCAAAGAAGCAACAGTTATGTACCACTTTCTCCAGTGGCTGTAGACTGGACATTAGTGACACAAGTTCACTGCAGTAACCAAACGGAAGGTGTTAACTCGTAGTAAAGCATAAAGTTCTATTACTAGCCTTTTTCTAGCAGCAGAGGAAGGAGAGATACACCGAGTCTTGAAAACAGTCCAGAGACCAGCAAGTTGAGTTAGAGAATGTACAGGACGGGAAAAACTGTGAATAATCACTGCTAGCCACTCAACAACTTCCTGCAACCGGAAAACAGAATAGAACTTTAATTATGCATGTAAAGCAGCTTGTAGATGAACCATACACCACAAGACACATACCATGTTACTATCTCTATCAGATGACACTAATGTAGAAGAGAGGTGGTTAATGAAAACTGAGAGGAAAGGTTGGATGAGCTGAACAGATGGGTGAATCATGGTCTCCAGCTGTAGCTGACCTGGTACATGATACAAGGTAACTCAAGTGTAACAAGAAACATATAATTACACACACATTGTTATGTTGAAGAACATGAATGTGCATAACTGTATACGTACCACATGTAACAACAAGTCTCACCTGTGTAGGCTTGGTACGATACACTCAGGGTCGAAGTACCAATTCTACTATGCCACTGTAACAGCTCCTTCAAACTAGTTACTCTAGTACCCAACACTAACCTGTGAAAACAGTTGCAGTCATCACAAACTGCCTCAAAAATCGTGCAACTGCATGTTTACTCACATTTTCTCTTCGAGAGTGAGAGACTTTAACTTCATACTGGCCAGGGAAGTTACCATAGGGTTGGAAATGGAGAGCAGGTTAGGAACATCTGTAAATTACAAACTGAAACCATACGTTTTTTTACAAAGGCAGTAAATTACTGTAAGTGAAATCTCCTCTTTCAATTGCCACATGGGCTTTCTTATTGGCATATTCTTGAAGGGATGTGCACCAGGAATTGACCACACCAGCAACGTGATAATCAGAAGCACACAAGGAAACAAGGGTTGTCATTAGTCCCTTCCTCATGTGATAGTCAGAAACACTTGCATGACTTGTAAACACTTGTAAGGCAGCATCAACATCCTACAAAATCAAAATATTGCGTTTTTACAAAACAATTAGTCTAACATAAATTTGACAGCAGAAAACGTTCTCATACCATTATTTTGTAATTTCTCCCATGCTCATTAGAGCTGTGGCTTCTGATGACTTTGAGGATGACAGAGAAGTGGCTCTGCACTGTCACTGCATCAGGGTGTTGGCAAATAGCTGAAACTTGAGAGGGCAGGTCTGAGGCACTCCCAGAAGACTCACAAACCACTGGTAGTTGTGGAACCTCCTACATTACAAAAAACACCGAAGACAGAGTAATGAATATTGACACAGATAATCTTAATCTTTATGTGAATGACATTTTTAAACATCTTTCTTAATGAGAATAACTGAAGAATAATAGGTGTAGTCAAAAGAATAGAATAATAGGCTGGAAAAAAAGAATGATTTATTTAGCCCTACATCAGGCCTGGTCTTTAGTATACTCCCTCCAGAGGAAACATCACAAAATCAGAGAATTAAGACACTCTGGCCACTCTATATAACTTCGCAATGACTTCCGGTCTCGTGCCACACGACACGGGCCCTCAATCTGCGGTAACACACATGTACGCATGCATGCGTACCCGTCCCCCAGTTTTGTGGTGTGCACGCAGCGTCACGGTATAGAGGATTTGCAATGGGAGTGGTCAAATACGTCACGCGCGGGGCGAAGCCATTTTGAGAGGCAAAATGGGGAAGAGTTGCTGTGCGGTCGGGTGCACGAATAGATGCTACAGAGGCTCCACGAGACCCTGTTAGAAAAGGCTGTGGATAGCAGTGTCAAGAAAGAACTGGATACCAAACGGATATGCAGCAGCCACTTTCCCTTCCCTATCGCAGCCTCCTTGCAGCCTTACCTGTCGCTACGAGATGACAGGCTTGCTCACTTTTTATATGATACTGTCTCTCATTTTGGGAATGTGTGCCGTTATAGTGATGGACGCTTTTTGGCTCACTGTTGTGGAGTGTGTTGGAGTGTCATAGCAACGAGATGTCCTCAGACAATCCATGTCGAAACAAAACCCTAGTTCATGTATATTCACTGTGACTCCATCATGGAGGGAAGACCCAACGTCACCGGCATACACGCCCTCCCTTCTTAGCCATGTTCGATTTCCAGTGAAAAGAAAGGCTGCCGACGACCTACGTAGATTCCGTCGACTCAGAGAAACCAAAAGAAGAACGGAAAATTTCAAAACAGCCGAGAGGCAAACAGAGGGGAGAGCTAGAAAGCAGTGAAAGTGTTTATATATATTATTATAGTGTTAAGCATAATAGACAAAATTGTTGTAGTTTGTTCGGCGCTTTGTAATTGTTGTGAAAGTGACATTTGACTAATAATCATGTGACATTACACAATAATTCTCAGTTCTAGTTCTTTTTCTTCCCTCTCTTTCCTTTGTTACATTCATGGCAGAACCATTTGCCACGGGGCACTATACTGACACTTCTCTGCACGGCTGTTTCAACGCGCGCAGGAAGAAAATTGGAAATGTGCGTGCAGCGCCCCCGGAATGCAATTGGACACACGCCCCCTCCGTTTTGAAAAAGAAGCGGTACCTTCTGGAGACCGTTGGCCGTCCAGAGACCATACTATGCACTACCTAATGTGTTTACAATGTTGTTCTATCATCCATGACTACCGTTAGTTACTTGTGCAGCTGCTTTTGCAATACGTATACTACTGCGCAGCGCTCAAATGAACATTCCACGGCAAAGACGCGCAGGGTACCGGCGTAGTGGAAGTCATATCTGGGTTCAGGAAGCGCTTTCTATTGAATAATTATTGTAACACAATAGACCAGGTAAGAGTGGAAGTATTCAATAATATAGGGATCTAAATGATACCTATTGTTTTAGAGTGTCTGGCAATGGCAGATGTGCACCGATTCGACATTCTTTGTCGTGTATGTGGAGGAAGGCTGCAGAGAGCCAAGAAAAGGGCTCCTGTACACAAATGCACCAACCACACAGAAGGGCTAGAGGCTACATTTGGCATTTCTGTTGGGACTGATGACCCTGATGTCCACCCCGAGTTCTTCTGTAACAGATGCTTTGCCGCCATTAAGAGGCAATCTACTGCTGCCTCAAAGGGGATCCCATACCATCACTCCATTGATGTGAATAAAACACTGCGGGAGATTGCACAGTATTAATAATTATATTACATAGGTATGTGAGCATGTGGATATCCTTACAAAAGGAGTAGGACAAAAGAAGCAAGCACGGAAGAATAGAGGTCGTCCTAGTGGTTCAACCACTATTGCACACATTAGATGTCTAGCACACAACCAACCCTCCTATGTCGACTCCACAGACGAGGTAGAGTATCTACCAAGGGATCGTGAATCCACTGGAGAGACTTCGCTACATTGTACAGGAGCACAACGTGGAGTCGACACCAGGGCTGAACAGCCTGCGCCCTGCACCACGGAAGAGAAAACGGCCAAGTGAAGAGGCCAACTAAACCGACTCCACTCTCTCTGTACCCTATAGTTTACTACAGGTCCCTTCCCAAGCATCACACACGTAATAAAACAACTAAATAACACGTCCCAATTGGGTGGCATCTACCGTGGCACAAAAAAAAGTATCATCATACCAACCACAGTTTTTGGAAAGTAGCGGGTAGTTCATTTCGATGGCAGCTTCCTCGCTGGCTGAAGCACTGCTGGACTTGAAATACACAGCTACGTACGTACCAGCGAAAGTCTCGAGTTCATGATTTGGAACGTATCTAAGGTATAGCTCATCGGACGGTCGTGATTTTTGGACCATCTCGTAGCTCGCACCGGGAAGAATCCAGTTTCCCACTTGCACATGTTCTATATGTACGCGCACACCTCCAAAGGCGGCTAGAAACGGAAGCCCGTTGCCATGCGTAACAATGACGTATTTATTTTTTGGGGGGCGTATCTTAATGTCCATGCGCGCATTGCGGGAAACGGCCGTGTCTGTAAGGTTTTAAAAGAAGGGCAGCAACGTGCGAACATGCTTCGCCAAGGCCTGCCATACAATTGCAGTGGCCACGTATAACTAATCCCTCCTTTTCAACTGCTACCCAAGCTTGAAGTGGACTTACAGAGAGTTTTTGTGAGTGTTTCACTTTCCCATAAACAACACAAGCATTAGTTTCAGAGGGTACAGGCCAAACAACAACTGCATTTATCCAGCCATCCACAAAATATCCTCCAGATTCTTGTACGCTTTCAGCTGCTGCTTCGTATAAGTACTGACGGATGTCACGAAATAATATCTGGGTACTCTAGGTTAGGCCAATCAAGCCAATCCAGACACTCGCCTCTTGATTTGACGCCATTTATCGTTATATAAATCTGTACTTTCACGCCTTCCGTGCTTTTTCCCAAAATACTTTTTTGGTGGAGGGAAATAGAGTGGAGGTCCTGGAGCTGAATCAGACAAGAGCCCAGGACATGTTGTCACCAGCCACGAAATGCTTGGAGTGCAAAACTGCATGGGACCAGGCAGGGTTGGTGGAGAGACTACGCTCCACTCCTTGGAGTAGTCCAGGCAGTGTGGTATAAAGGTTTGATAGCCGCAGTTTCTCGTGTGATATTCCCTCTCCATAGGATGACAAAGTCCTGGTCCCACTGGCCTATGCCTACAAAGGGGCTGTGTCGGGCAGCTTAAAAAACGGAGTGTCAAAAGCACTACTGTATGAAATGGGTCGCCTTGTCTGGTTCTCAACACTGCACCACAGGCACAGGCACATAGGACTGTACAGCGTGTAAGTATATAAAATAAGATAGGCATCGGCTATATATTATAGCTCTGCTCCAAACAAGGCCACTGCAGCAGGTGGACTATCTGTGAGGGTGGAAATAGTATTTGCGGAGGGCCATAGCCAAAACGGAGCACTGAAGGTATATACAATTATTACTAGGAATGCGCACGCGCATATTTTGCCTCGCGCCTGCCAGCCAATACGTAAACAGTCCGACTGAGGCCGCTCGTGCGCGCGCTCTACTGACTGTGCGCGAAACCATACTTCCTACGAATCTGCGCGCACGGCGGAAGCTAGACTTCCTACGAATGACGGAAGTTGACATTCCTAAGCGTGACTAATTGACATTCTTAAGTGTGACGACACGTACGTACGCATATCGCGAGAATGCAACCCGGAGTAGTTAATGTAAGAACTATGCCGGCTCGAACAGCTTTCACTTCCAAAGAATTGCATATACCAGCCCCACCGACGACCAGGCACTAATTGTGAATGCCAGCACCGATCTTCAAGCGATGCTTGAGATCATCTTCAGTGAATCGGCTGCAACCCGTGCCCGCAGCTGCCCGTGTAGACAGTGGCTTATAGGTACCGAGGTCATCCCAGAAAGACTCTAATCACCACTTTGGAGTCCTACCTCGTCCACAAATCCTCGCACCTCAGAGTGTTACAGTTCCTGCATAAGGGCCTTCCTCGTACTCAATGTTCTTGGGTCTCGTGCTGGCTGTCTCTACCCCTTCACATCCCTGCACCTGTGTACAGCATACTGCCTCCCCGTTCTCCTGTACGGGTGTGAAGTGTGGTCACTCACACAGGCAGAACTAACGGCACTCGAGAGAGGAAGATCAATCACAGTGATGCCTGTCTCTGGCCCTCTAACAATCACTGGGAATTGCCAACATCCGCAGTCTGGTCCATCGGCACCAGCTGAACTTTGTACACTCCTCCACCACCACCCCCCATGACTCTGCCTCATCTAATCTTCGACAAACGGATGTCTGGCCCTATCTTCCCTCGAAGCTCACTATCCTCCTTTCACTCTCTATTTTCTATTCCCAGCATCTTGATAGCCAACTCGCCAGAGCTCAGTGGAAGGGCCAGATAAAAAGAATCACTACTGTCTCCGAGTTCTCCCAGTATGCTGACGAATGTGACCATCTCTCTCTTGCCAGCTACTTTCCTCCTAGCCTTGGGAAGCAGTACCCTCACCGGAAGGTCACCTTACGTTTCCCCATTCTCTCCAGAAAGATCATCTCGCGGATGAAATTACTGACAGTCTAGCATCTAACGTCTGTCGTTTTTAAACTATCTCTACTGACACATGTTCCCTCTATTCCGCAACAGAGGACGCCTTTCATCTCATCGTAAATTGTCCTGCTCTTGCCTCTACACATGGCAAATTTGTCCTGCCCTGCCCTCTTGCATCTGTAACCCTTGGTGCTCTCAAACATTCCTGAACATTCCTACTAATTGATTATTCTACTTATATAAGCATGCATGAGTAGTGTTAGTGGCTATCAGTAAAAAGATGATTGCCAAACTTTTAAACGTGGAAAATGAAGCGCCAGCTGCCAACTAGCGAGACAGTGAAGCTGAAGACAAGACAATGCAGTGGGAGGAACCTGGCGACGCAGGAGACTTGAACCAAAGACCCAGATGTGGAGAGTGTCCAGAACCACGAGGACTCTGCCCAAAGAGCGGAAGAAGAGACAGTACTCCTGTCCAGGTACAAAGGAAACTCACTTTCGGACCCTAGAGTGGTGGAGCTACTCTCATAGGTTAACTCTTTGGGGCCCAAAGCCACTGGAGTGGCTTTTTACGTAGATAATGCGGAATACAAATGTAACGCGTTGCGTGAGTAGCGTGTGCACCCGCTTATCTTCTCTTTCTCTGGAAAAAAGCTCTTCGTTGCAACTGACCGCCTTCCTGCGACTTTCTTTTTCAATCTTACCAACGCTAATGCACAAATAGAGCATGCCACACCTTCTGGTACTCGAGGGCGTGACGCGCGTGCGGTCCGCGCTGTCCGTACGCGCGAGACACGCAGATTCGCAGGAGCCTCCACAATGGCCAGGAGACTCAGCACTAATGCGGAAGTAGGTTTTCAGAGGTGAAAATGAGCATTCCAGCTTTTTATTGCGCGTAATAATAGGCCCCAAAGAGTTTTAACATGGACTTAGCCCATCTGCCAACAGACTCTGAAGCTACTTCTCACCTCATATGTTGACGTCTTTGCCCTTGACAGCAGCGAGTTGGGGACTACTCAGCTGGTCACTCATTCGAGCGACACTGGTGACCATCATCCCATCAAACAGCCAATATGACGAACTCCATTTGCATTGCACGCAAAAGTAGACCAGCTAGTGTAGGAGATGCTTGATCAGCGAGTGATTGAGCCGTCGGAGAGTCCTTGGGCGAGTCCAATTGTACTTGTGCAGAAACGGGATAGCAGAGTCAGATTCTGTGTCGACTACAGGAAGTTGAATGAATTCCCCCTGCCGAGAATAGATGACACCCAAGACCTTCTCACCGGTTCCCGACACTTCTCGACATTGGACTTAGCCTCCGACGAAGAAAGAAGTGCCTTTCCTCAGGACTCAAAAGTGTCAATCCGCCTTTGTTGAGTTCAAGAGACTACTCATGCATTCGCTTGAGCTGTCGTTTCCTGACTTTGCTGAACCCTTTATTTTGGAGACGGATGTGTCTGGGGCGGGTCTGGGTGCAGTGTTAGAAACAAGGAGATGGTACCGTATGAGCGACTGCCTTTGCCAGTAGGTCCCTCGAACTGCACGAGAAAAATTACGGGATCACGGAGCTTGTACGGCCATTGCTACGAGGTCTTCTCCCACCACTGTGCACCGACGTCACTGCCCCTGATGCCACAACCATCAGGGAAACTTACCAGATTGGGAATGGCAATCCAAGAACTCGATCTGCAGATCAAACATCGTGCTGGGCGCAGCAACACCAATGCGGATGCCCTGTCAAGGTCACCCTTGCCGGTAGGAGAGAACTCGAACACTGAAGGAGTTCTAGCGACTCTTCAGCCTGAAGAAGAGACTGAACCAGAGATGGATCGATCCACTGCTGGCTGCCATTATTGAGTTTCTTGAGACTGGTCCTCTCCAAGTCACAGTACGTTCTGGAGGATAATGTCCTGTACAAGGTGGAGCAAGGCAGCGCCATGCGAGTGATTCCACCCAAGGATCAGTGGGAACGGCTTTTCAAGGATGCCCATGGAGGAGTGTTTGGGGCGCACTAGAGTGACAGTGCCCGTAATCCAACAACGGAAATCAGTACACCGTCGTATTCGTAGAGTACTTGACGAAATGGCCTGAAGTCTTTGCAGTCTCGGATCAGTCAGCCGCCACTATCGCCAACCACTAGTCGACATGGAGTTCCATCATCCATTCTCTCCGACAGGGGACGAGCGTTCCTGTCAGGACTCCTCAAGAAGGTACAGCAACTACTGGGGTTCAAGAAAATGAACACGTTAGCATACCATCACCAAACGGACGGACTTGTGGAAAGATTGAATAGGACTTACTTTCTTATATGTAAAAGGTGTGATCTTTTCGTGATTGCTTATATGGGGAACCTACCGCAATGTTGGCCAAGTCAGTGGAACAAGGAGGGAAAGACTGGGATCGAAGACTGCCTTTCGTCCTATTTGCATATCGAGCCACACAACAGCAGAGTACCTTAGAATCCCCGTTCTTCTTGCTGTACGGTAGAGACCCTTGACTGCCTACGGATCTTCCTATTCAAGCCAGCGGACAAGACGGGACTCGTGTGAAAAATTGCGAGACCCTTTCACGGACCCTTCCAAGTGGTAGACTTGGACTCCAACACAGCCAAGATCCAGAGGATTGACCAGCCAGAAAAAGATACCATTCTAGTGGCACTAGACAGACTTCGTCACTGCCCATCGGAAGTAGCAGAGTTGTTTTGGCCGCCGGACCGACGGAAGTCTCGAAAAGAGAAGTCTACAACTAGCAAGGGAGTGGAGGAGGAACTGGTCTCGGAGGAGCAACCGATAGTCTCACCCCGTCAATAACTGACTAATCACGAGAAGGAACAGCCTACTTTGAGTCAAGGGGAAGAGCTACAAATGAATCACCCAGTGAAGACTGTGAAGAGCCGCCTCTGGACACACCTACCCTGCCAGGAAGATCTGACAGCACACCAGACATGGGGGGAAATGACTCACCTGAAGTGGAGGAAAGTACTACCACTGAGTCTCTGATGAGATGCCCCTCAGCTTGAAGACACTACGGCCGGAAGGAGACACGAGCGCAACAAGTGAGCTGGTTGCCAGCGGAAGAGGCGTGGGAATAAATCAGCCGCGGACGTCCGAGCTTCGGCCGGGGGAGATGTAATGACTGTACTCTAACTATCTGGACTCATTTTTGTAACCATAACACGTATTTAGCTAGTATATAAGAATGTAGCGGCAGGTAGACAGGGCAGAGCTGGTTTTGGAAGAGAGATAGAGATTTCACATTGTGTTGCCAAGCTCGCACGAGGAACGTGCAGGCTCATCTACGTCCTAAGCGCTACACATATAAAGGAAAATGTCCGCCTTCAGACAACTAAGAAGGCTGGCTTCGCTCACCCATAACCATTTATAGAAAATAGCCTTCTTACGAATGTGGGTACATATAACCACTACGCGCTACAGCTTTTCGTGTATAGGCACCCAAGTCATAATAGGCACAGAATAAATAGAAGCACCCTAGAGTAGCAGCAGCACAGCAGTTTATACAGCGGCAATGAGTACTATACCACGGTGGTAGTGCAATCTGGACAGGGCCATCGGCTGTTGATTTGTTCACTCGGTAAGAAGTAGACAATGGCAGAGGGATCGAGCAGAGGGAGACACTACACCAACGCTCAAGCAGCCGACAATGCCCTTTGCACGCTGGCTGGCTGGGCACTGCACAGTGCGCAGTGCCTTGATCCATAGAGATAGGAGTACTTAGTCTCGTCAGCCGATCTGATCAGAGGCGCATTACTTGGCTTGTGAGTGGACTTGTGTTTTTTCTCTACACCTTTCGCGTTACATGGCACCCCATAAGAACCTATTATGGGTGGTAATTTCGAAAATTAGCACTGGTGCTTATTATCCTGATTTTTTAGCGCACAAATAAAATACTTACCAAATGCTTCCAATTTGATTTCACAGGTCTTTGGGACACCATACTGCTACAATACACACCCTGCAACAGCCTCACGGGGCTCACACTTTCTTCTGTGTACAATTGAAAAGAATACACCGAGTGTAAAGAATAGAGTGCCAAAAGTACACAACACAACCTGCAACAGAGGTCAAAACATGTTTGGCTGTATTACTGTCTACACCAGCTGACAATAACAAAGACCTCCAGTCCTCCTTGTTCCTGTTAACTGAACCAAGAGTTTCCTACAGTGAGAAGAATAAAGCTCTTTACTAGCAAAATCTAAGGTAATATTAGGACTATTTTGTACCAAATGATCTACTGACCTCGGGCAGAATGCAGACTTCAATTCCTCTGTTCCTCATAGCGCGAGAGATCTCTCCATGAGCAGGATCCATCAGAAGAAACAACCTACAGCATTAGTATGCCATTAAGAATAAAATTGCAGAGCATTTCTTATTATACACCTAAAATTTGGGTGAGGCTTGACAGTCATCACCCCTTCCTCTCCCACAACACCTCTCTCATCTACTGACAGTACTCCTCCGGGCTCCACCACTGCATTTAGCCGGTCCAGAACCGACGGACTATACACAAATGTAAAGATACGTTTGGAAAGAAGTGGGGTGCTTACTTGCAGACATTACAGTTTGTGATAGAGAGCCAGTGACCATGGCGAAGAGATGTAACTAGAACACTGTCCACCCACTCAAACTGGCCTCCAGAGTCTCCCTGTTGAATACGATCCTTCAGCCAGACCACCTGGGACAATATCTCACCAAAATCTGCAATACCAAACGGATCAGTGTCCATACTAAGAATCTTACCAAAAAAGATATAAACTCATTGGAGCCCGAAACACACTGATACTTATGCACGTAAAACCAAGGCTAGGGTCCTCAGCATACACAGACCACCACCTTACCTCCTGCTTCTGCGCAACTCTCACCAAAAGCATAAAGGGGGCTACACTCCATATTATGTACGTTATTGGGTGGGTAGTCTGAATCCAATAGAGTTCAAATTCGAAAATACAGCCACACACAGCTATGTACAAGTTTGTTACTACAGACCTACCATAGCTGAGGTTTGTGGGCAGATGACTTGAAACCTCCTCCATCACTAGCAAACACTGCTTCAACTTCTCACAGCCACCCAGAAGTTCAATGTTAGAAACCTCTTGGAGCACCCCTGTACACCAGCAGCAAAAGCAACTTTGCCTTCCTCACACAGACAGAGTTGCTCTTACATACCTGACACTTTGGGTAGAGAGGAATTTTTCATGGCTCCTAGTTTCGCGGTGTATTCCTTGCCATTCTGGTGGTGACGGATTGTTGCCAGAAGTTCCACGAGTACATCCTCCACCATTTTAACAATGTTGTAAAAATGACGTCCAAAGTTTACCTGTAATGAAAATGTGTGTATGATCACGACAATCGATGTAAAATCACACGTTTTACACTGTAAAAGGAAATGTGTGTGTAGTGCAAACCTGTTGAAACCCTCCGAGAAGTTCTGTAGTGTCAGTGTCACTGTTCATTGGAAACTCAACCAGCTTCTGTCCAACCAGCTGGGCAAGTGTACGTACAACACTAGTCTTCCCACTGGCTCTACCACCAACCTAAACGCATGGTATACATACGCAACTTCAAGTGCACTCTGTGTAAAGAGCTACTAACAAGAATTGTCATCCATCCTCTCTCGACACACATCATCACTGCCTCCAGTATGGGAAGTTGACAGTGCAGTGCCTGCAGTGGGACTCCTTCAATCTTCTTCTGACAATCATATGGCCTTCGAGCCAACACAGCATGCCCAACCTAATGACGAAGAGCAAAGATTGCACCGTAGCAGCTACCTAAACTGACCAAACCTGCAAATATTTCTCAGTCACAACAAAACTACCACCAAGGGCGGTAGGAAGAGGACTACTGTCACAAAACACTTCCCCACAAACCTCGACAACCTGTGAAACAGTTTGTGTGCATAGAGAGGATGGAATACATACAACAGGAATGTTCATGGTAGTGAAAGAGCCATAGAGTAGAATTCTCACATGACAATGCAAGAGCACAGCGTAGTGTCTCACAAGCTAACCTGAGCTCTCAAGGAGGCAGACCTGAGCCTACGACAGTATATGATCTCAACCAACTGACATGGATCAGCTATCTAAAAAAGTCACAAGGTGAATGACTTCAATTATTAGTTTTGATGGTGTTCCATAGCACCACAAACTACAAACTACCTGATGATCCTTCAGAACCTGACACCACCGCAAGATGTCTCTGAGATTGAACTCCCAAATGCTAGTGCCACACTCCCTCTTCACCAGTGCCTCGACCTACACATTAAAGCAACAACTGCATCACATGAAACATACCCCTTGGTTACTTTGGGACGCACCTTGGAATTGAAAGTGATCATATTTTGTAGCACACTCAAATCGATATCAGGATACAAGGAATGAGAGATAAACTGATAGTCTGACTCTGACAGCACATCAACAAACACCTGGACATACATAGGACACAGTAAAGTTCCATTCCAGTTTTGCAGCAGCTACAACATACTATTGTGAATCTATTGAGAAATGACTTTGGTAGACCTTTCCTTCCTCCACCTTGTGACATGGGATTTTGACAGGCAAACAGCTTGGTGTTTGGTTGAACAGAAAATGTTATTCCCAACTCTGGAACAAACACTTCTCCTCTGTGGTCCAGGACAGCATTCAAACCCTCCAACACCGACTGGGATGCAAGGTTTATCTGCACACGAGCAATCACAGAAGGCAAACATTCAGTTAAAGACTGGGTAGAAAAAGTGTACACTCACCTCATCCAACAATACCCAGTCTCCTGTCTTGAGGGCCCTGAGGAGAGGACCATCTCTCCATTGAAACCTGACACCTTTCCCTCCTTCTACCGGAAGGTCACATCCAAACAAGTCACTGATGTCCTGTAACACCAGCACAGCAATGCATTCATAATAGTGCTGGAAATTACGCAGATATGAAACTTCACAATTGGCAAGCAAGTACATACCAAGATACTGGGTGTAAACAAAAACCAAGTGCATATCGGTCAATCATGGGGTGCAAACACAAGAAAAGTGCACATAGAATGAAAAGCACTAAAGTGAAAATCCTTGGCGCTAGAAACGCAAGTGAGCGTTGATGTGTACACATGCGGAGCCAGTCTCTCGTTGTAACACAGACTAGCTGGATCAGTGGGTAGTGTTTAGAGCAATTCTTGACTATCACCCGAGTATGTTTATCCATTCACGGTGCAAAACCCGGTCGAGGTAAACAAGTGCTGATTATGCATATTGGATTTTTCGCTCGAACACAGCAGTTTCAGAAATAGTTTTCGACCTTTAGCCAACGCTGAAGACGTGGTATTGTTTGTGAGTGAGGTATCGCAAAATGGACAGAGAGATAGACAGCTACAGTACCACTCGCTGCACATGCATAAAAAAATTCAACGACACGCTACTTTGAAAAAAAAAGAGCTGCCCTAGGTGGGATTCGAAGCTATGTTGTCTAGAAGAGTGCATTACAACAACCAGTCAAGTACACAGTGAACTGGCATTGAAGGTGGGAAAGGTGAGGGTGGCACCCAAGAGGGACTTGCTCTTACTCCTAAATGACACTCACAGTATGTTCAGAGAGGTTGATCCGCGTCATGTGATGGCCACTATAACTGGCTAGTGCAGCAACCAGACTTGTTTTGCCAACTCCTGGAGGACCTTCAATGAGTAGTGGTTTACCAACTTGCATCCCCCTCAGTAACCGGTAGGCATTTCCACAGGGTCCAGGTGCATCCAGAGAGTAATACTGAAGACCCTTACATTCATATGGACCTGAAAAAGCAGTAATGGAAGTCTGAAAGCGCTGAATTCTTGTAATTGGTTATTGCAAACATGCTAGGACTAATATACATGGGGCACACTTCACATATAACGCTTGCACATATTATGTAGCATACATCCTAGCTACATTCCAAACCTTTCTTGATGAAGAAAGGATGTATCCCAAACATATCCTCATGGCAGGAAATGGAAGCAGGAGAGGACTGAAGACTCATTTGATGCCCATTTTTAACGAGCAGCTCTTGTAGAAACATTTGAGCTTCCTGCAGGAGATGTTCCCTTACAGTGACACTTAACTGCTCTCTGCAGCCCAGGCTGTCGAGGAGCACAAGGTGTGCCCCATGGTAGAAGGCCTCAGCCGGGGGTAGGGGTGGACTGGTGGCATTCATAAAGCGGACCCATGTCAAGAGATCTCGTACACTGACGTGGATGCTTTAAAAGAAACAACAAATACAAAGTAAATAATAACAAAAGAGCTCATGTAAAGTGAATCATCAGCAGTAACTGACATTCACTGTCATTGAACACTGCTTTGGCATTTGTGTAGCATGTGCAAAGGTCTAAATACGCCATAATGTTACTATGCAAAATAGTTGTTCCAGGCTGGGTTCACAATAATGTCGCATTGCCCCGTTGAGTCCTGTTGCAAATAGATTCTATTGTAGAGGCCAGGCACAGATAGGGCCTGGGCAGGCGACACATACAGGTTATGTGTACTGGTTGTGGCAGCGTGCTAGGCCGCTGCACCCACTGCAGCACACTGCAGTTACTTAAAAAGTCACAAATACCTGTATGCTACAGTGCTCCTCGAGCAAGAAGATGGTTCCACCTGCAGATACCAAGCTTTCGGTGTTACTCTTCTACTAATTACTAACAGTGATAAGGTAAAAGACAATTTATAGGAGAGAGAAGCAACACGAAGAGAGATTCTTTCAGACATGGCGGATAGAAAGCCCTGGAGCACAAAGAGGAAGATGAAGGAGAGAAGCGCAAATCTAGTGGCTGCGAGGAGGGGGCAAGCGAGCACTGAGAGCAGCATAGCTGCTATCACACACCGTCATCTCAAGAATCTGACATCGTCTCAACCTCCAGCTCGGTTTCAGCACTGGAACATGAGAGTCTCCAGCTCTCAGCAAGGGCACCTCTGTTGTTGAAGATGCTGGAATGTGCAGTGATGAGTACGAGAGCGAAGATGACACCTTCAATGACGAGTGCGCCCAAGAAATCTTAAACGATTTCATTCTGGTCTTGCCACCGACGACAGATGTATGCTGGCGGTACTCCTAGCTGAAAGCTTCAGGACAAGACAGAACATGGGTGTTGTAGATGCAGCGCGTGAAGCTGGCTCGATCGTCGGATACAGCGACAAGACCGTCCGGAAGCTAAGGAAGGAGTTCTTCGAGAACAAGGGGGTGCTGAAGGAGAGGAGACAAGGCAAGTATAAGCGACTGACCGTTTACCGCGACGAGGAGCTTAACGAGAAAGCCGCGAAGTGGGTGAGGGAGAATGCATTGGCCAAATGCAAGCCGAACATGACTGCCAAATCTTTCTGCCAGTGGGTGAACGAAGATCTTGAGCTTCCACCTCACTTCCTGTGGAGGATATCGTGTCGCATTTCAATATGTTGGCTCCATCACCTAGGATTCAAGCTTGTCAGCCACCGAAAGGACGGACAGACACAAGAGAGACGATGTCGTGAAACGCCGAGAAAAGTACCTCAACACAATGGCTGCCCTTCGAGAGTCTCACCAACCCCCTCCAACATGCAGAGATGAGCCACCAATGATCAGATCTGAAAGTGATGAAGGGAAGAAGACGCTAGTGGTGGTATATCATGACGAGTCTACAACAGCAACGAAGGGCAGACCTGGATGTGGGGGGAGGAAGAGAGGCTGGCTCTCTTGCCCAAGACAAAGGGAAGTGGATTGATGGTCTCTGATTTTATCGAAGAGCATGACAGGTTCCTCATTCTAAGTGATCAGCTGCTTGAACAGGCCAAGGCAGCGAACCCCGACATCAAACACCACGCACATGTTGTGTTTGAGTATGGCAGCGAACGTGGTGGATGCTGGACGGGAGACAGATTTATGGCCCAAATGAAGACAGCCTGCGATATCGCTGAATTCAAGTATTCTTCATCAACCCACACTGTCGTCTTCATTCTGGATCAGCAAGTATGATCAGCAAGCCCTTGTTGCACGAAATATCCTTGTCAAGGATGGAGGGCCACGCCGGGTTCGCGACACTCTGTGGGCAGGCTGGCCTCAACCCATGGTGCTGCCAGATGAATCAGCGAAGGGTTTACGGAAAATTCTTCAACAACGTGGGATCAATACAGCAACATTGAAGGCGGATGACATGAGGGTGATACTTTCTAATCACGATGACTTTGTCAATGAGAAAACGCAAGTGGAACACTATGATGTTACCAGCCAAGGTTTTCAGTGTTTCTTCCTGCCAAAGTTTCACTGTGAACTAAACCCCATCGAGCGGGTGTGGGGGCAGTCAAAACGCTACTCCAGAGCTCACAGCAATTTCATTCTGGCAAGGCTCCGTGAGACGGTCAACCCAGCTCTGGACTCCATCACTCTTGACCTCATCAGAAAGTATTTTAGAAAAGTCAGAGAGTATGAGACGGCAAACTTGGAGCGAAATAAAGCTGGGAAGGGGGTGGAAGCAGCAATGAAACGTTACAAGTCACATCGTCATGTATTGTAGGGGATTTGAGCGTTATAAACTTTTAAAAAATTGTAACTTAGTTATACTTGTGCATTCTGCAATTCTGTAATAGCCATTTTGTTGTGTTTTTGTACTATTTGTTATGGTTATTTTTGGGTAATTTTATTCTGTATGGTTAGCCTTAAATTCCGAACTTCCTCCCTGAGTGGAATATTGGAATTCTGCTACAGCGAAAATATGAGCACTAAACGGGACCCGGAGAGATCTGGAGTCCTTGGTAGGGGACCATTCAGCACGCAGCATACGTGGTTCGCCCTGGCAGATTATTCATCGGGAGAATCTATAATCTATTAGCCGGTACAGGCCATTTGAAACCACACTGTTTCATCTGACTGAACGCGGAGTGCAGAGCCGACATCGAATGGTGGTACATCTTCCACTGGTCGTGGAACAGCGTTGCGATTGTCCGTAACCCGGACGCCCTCACACCAGACGCTGTTTTATGCACGGATGCTGGTAGTTGCAGCTGCGGAGCCATCTGGAGAAAGCTTAGGTTGCAGGTGCCATGGGACGGCTTGGCCATTGCGGGGCAATCGATGGCAGCGAAGGAGCTGTTCCTCCTCATAAAATAAAGTGAGTAAAAGCCACACAGATGGTGACAGCTGCGAAATATCTCAAGTTGGATATCACGCCAAATTATGCGGACTGACATCTGTGCGTAAACGTGCGACGGTGTGCTCCACCCACAATCGCCAGCATATTCTATATGCTCACGGTATTTCGCGAAGGAAACGTTTCAACGCACATAGCCGCGCAATGACACACCCACGTGTGCGCATTGTTTTACATCCCTTCTGTGGGGTAGAATACGGCAGGGGTTGTTAACAGTGCTGTGCCGGTGCGACAATGGGGCAGTTGTCGAGGTCGTCAACCGGCATTCGGCTCACGACCCTCTCCTCTGTCATCTTCTGGGTTCCTGTGTTACGCCAGAGCGCGGTTCGACTTCAGAGTCACGGCCCAGCACACCCCTGGGGTTACCAACATTGCAGCAGATGCATTGTCTCGGAATAACCTCCACCTATTCTTCGTGCAGGCACCGCACGCCTCCTCACACCCCACAGTCGTCACGCCAGACCTTCTACCACAGCTGAGTTGGTGTCGTCCCGCATGGTCCCTCACAAGACTGGACGACTTGGTTCGATACTTTTTGCAGAACGCTTCAGTGCCATCGACTCGCCGTACTTACCAGACAGCCCAGTCTCGTTATCGGTCCTTTTGTTCACTGTTTGATCTTAGAAAGGTGCAAGGGCCACTGCCATAATGCAGCGGTGGGAGAAAATATATACAATGGGAGGGCTAAGGACCCGCTGCTTGCCCATCAACTGCGGGCGTTTTTCTACGTCTGTATGTTCGAGATTACGGCAGTTAATACTCCGGGCCAGGAGAACGGCACGGCTGATGCCATCTCCCGCAATAACCTCGACGCCGCCTTCTCCCAGGCACCCACAGCCGGTCGGTATACATCAGTAGTGCCGGTGGAGCTGCAGCTGGGACTCAGCAGAGCCAGACCATGTTGGAGATCGCTAGACTGGATGGCCTGGTTGCCCAATTCTTTGACTCGGTTTTACTGTACGCGCCCACACCGCAAGCACGGTACGCTGAAATCTGCTCGGCCTCACACCTACCAACTCTGCATTTGACTCAATATGTTCTATGTAGATACTCAGCATGGCTAGCTGCACAGATTATATCATTCAGAACTATAGTCTTATCTGTCGGTGCTGCGTTACCTCCAGATTCACCACTTGGGCTGCGACCCACGAATGAGCGGGATGGCAGTTTTACAGTACGTGGTACAAGGGGTCAAACACCCACAGGCACTGGCAGGAACAAACACTGCTGTGGGCAGTTGCATGCACTTGCTTTTTCAGCTTCGGGGGAGGCAACTCCGCCATCAGTGTCGGCGTACAACCCGTGAGCACACCTTTCGATAAATGCCCTCGTCAATTCCAGGTCAGCACCGCCAAAGGTTCTGGTTCACATAAAAGCCTCGAAGACGGATCCATTCCGCCTGGGAGTGGTTAATGAACTCTCCTCTACTGAGACCAGAGCTGCTGAGCTAACAGCAAGAGTGATCAAGAATGAGAAAACTGTCCGATGCTGGCGAACTGATCTCATCACTAATGGAGGGTCATTCACGGAGGATAAATAGGGACAATATCAGCGGACTGAGGTTCTGTGGGGCAATGAAGAGCTAAACAAGAAGGCATCTAAATATGTTCGAGCTAACGCTGCTGTGAAGGGGACACCCAATATGACTTCAATGGAATTTTGCAACAGGGTGAACAAACCTCTTCTTCCCAACTCCATTTTTAGAGCCAGGATTTTCTCGACAAATCTCAGTTGAGACAGCTCGGAAGTGGCTTCACGAAATGGGCTCCGAAGTGTTGACAACTAGGAAAGGCATATTTATCGATGGCCATGAACATCCAGACGTTGTTGAATCGCGAACGAAATATCTCAGAAAACTAGCATTTCACAAATGCACCAACAGAACAGGCAGGCAAAGCAAGTAAACCCCTCATCAAAGAAATACGCACATCGTTTTCTAGAGTATAGGGAAAATAGAGAGGGCTACTTGGACGCGTGACAAATTCGTGGCTCAAATGAAAAGTGCGGTGGAAATGGCTGAACTAAATACTCCAAAGGAGGAAGGCTGGCGTTATGTTTGGGTGTTTGACCATTCAAGCTGC